ACTGCAGTCTTAGAGATACTGGAAGCCAATATTCGTTCAATCCAGTAGTAGTGCAGTTATGAATGGAGCTAACCTTTCATAATACACACTGCATAATGCAGCCTTTTATAAATAGATTGTAAAGCAAGAAGCCAGGAATGCACACGACATGGACATACAGCATATCTAGCAGATTTGAGAGTGAAGAACAGGCAGCTATCAGCTATAAAGCCCAAATGGCTCAGGTACAACTATGTGTCTTGATACCACAGACTTCCCAGCTATGTGCAACGCTCAGCTCAAGAGAAATATTAGATAGACATGTAAGCTGTCAAAAAAATTGTTTTGTTGCAATTTGGATGTTTCGTTAATTTGTTTTTTTCAGGATTCAGGTCTGAAAGTCAATTTGTTTTGGCATTTGGATTTGGATGACCTAAATGATCATTACGAATGACAATTTGTTGCAGAAAAGTGGCATTAAATGTTTTTTTTTTTTTTTTTACTTTTAACACTGGAAATTTTTAACACAAAAAAAATAACACACAAAAAAAAAAAAAAGCGACAATTCATACCCGAGGTTCCCCCGACTATTCATACCAGACACTTAAGGTCTGGTAGGCATTTTAAGGGGGACCTCAACGGCAAAAAATGTTTTAAACAAAACAAACAGTGGGATCCTCTCTAAAATCCCATACCAGACCCTTAATCTGGGCAGCAGCCTGGCAGGGCAAGAAAGGAGGGGGAGGAGCAAACGCCCCCCCTTTCTCCACCATACCAGGCCACATGCCCTCAACATTGGGAAGGTGCTTTTCCAGCCGGGTCCCCCCTGGAAAAGCCGAAGGGGATAAGGGCCTCTTCTCCACAACCCAGTGGTTGTGGGGGTCTGCAGGTTGGGGCGGCTCATCTGCATCCGGTTACCCCCTTTCATAATAGAACATTTAATTTCAATGACACTACAATTTTAGCATATTTATGACATGTCTCTTGACATTTAATACATAATAAAGAGGAAAGGTACATATATAACTGTTGTACAAAATGTATAAACTTCTGGCTGTTGTAGACTTACAAAAAGCCTTTGATTCAGTGTCCTGGCAATACCTTTTCCAGCTGCTTGAGAAATGGGGCTTCGGCCCCCTCTTTTTGAATACGTTGCGGGCCTTATACACCACTCCGTCAGTCCGGGGGGATCTCCTGGAGCGTTCCATTGGTGGCAAGACAAAGATCTGTACCGCATAGCACAATTCTTTAAAGGTCGCAAGCCACTTTGACCTACTGTCAGGAGGTTTTGCATATGCCATCTTCGGAATACTTTCACGACAGACAATTGTTACACTTTTTTTTTTTGTCTCCCTTTAGAACAACCTACGAACATTTGTGTCTTGGTTCGCTGCTCTATTCCCTCCTGGTAGAATCTGAAAGTAAATTACCTTATATGTTAGCTTGGGAACAAGACATGGAAAAGGTTATTCCTCTGGATGTTTGGCATCAATGTTGTTCCCGTGTGTCATCTGGTTTACTCAATATTTCACTAATAGAAGCTAATTATAAGGTTTTATCTAGGTGGTATTTGGTTCCCGCCAGACTAGCGAGAATATACCCAGAGGTTTCGCCTCATTGTTTTAGGGGATGTGCTCACTTGGGCACGATATATCACATATGGTGGGAATGCCCCAAATTGAGACCTTTTTGGAACCGGCTTTATGCTCTAATATTTGGGGTTACTGGGGTGAGAGTCCCACGAGATCCCCAATATGTGTTTCTGAATTGCCCGATTCCAGGACTGTCTAAAGCTTTGGATAAATTAATTACTTTCTTTTTGTTGGCAGCCAAAATAACCATAGCTAGGGCTTGGAAAACGCCAACAATTCCATTCCACTCGGTTAAACAAAAAATTTTGTGGATTATGGTCCATGAGAAACTTCACAGCATCCTCCAAGATACTAAAAAAAACGCTTTGAATTGACCTGACCCCCTGGTTGTTATACACAGGGGTGCTGGAAACCGGGTAATTTTCATTGAACAAAATTTCTGGAATTTTTCTCTGGGGACTATGTTTAATGTTTAAGTAGATGTAGGGCTATTTGGTCGGGGATGGAGCTACTCTTTTCGGACTCTTAAGCTGTTCTGCGTCCTTTAGCATCTATTTCCTTTTATTGTCTGTCTTTTTTTTTCCATTATGCTCGCACACGTGAGCTGTTTAGTGCATTGATGTTGGACAGAAAGTCTTCTATTTATATAGATATGGAGGAGATCATAACAAATGTTTGCTGCAGACATAGGCGGATCCCTATGCCAGATATTCCTCTCAGACTGTTTTGAGTTTTGTTTTCGCTGATGGGGGATAAATTGGCAAGAATAGGGTGATAGATATGATCTGTTTTACAGAACTATTATATATTGTGTGTATGGCATCTAGTGATCCCCCCCTACTACTTGACTATGCTAATGTGGAAGAATCTGAAATGCAATTGTATGCTATACTGATTGTGCATCATGTGCTATTTTATTGTTTTATTCTATTTTGGAAAATTAATAAAATACTTTGAAAGGTAAACTTCTGGCTGTTGTTATGCGAGGTTCTATGAGTCACCTACCCAAATGCTAATAGAAATAAATACATGATACCCACAATTTTTCCAAAATAGAAATACTTTTTTGTATCACCCCGACTCTAAGCCACAAAAACAATGAAAACTATCTGCACAGCTCAGTTACACATTTGGCAAATTGAAAAAGAATCCACTTAATTGTATATTAAACAACAAACTAAATAAATCATGTCAATCATGATCTACGATTAAGCCCAGGATTGGGTGAAACGCGTTAGTGGGGCGGAACTAAGGCGGGACTTTGTGTAGCTGTGTAATTTTTAATAAAGGAAGTTTCCAGTGACATATGGAGCGCGGCAGAATGTTTTATTGTTTCGATGTAACAATGTTACAATAGACCTGTTGGGTGTTCATGGTTGGTCCAGTACAAATAGACCATGATCCAGTTATATAAATTGATCAAAGATAATGCACAAACCAGTAAATCAAACTCTAAAAACAAAACATACACACACACACACACACACTTATAACTAGGGATGCACCGATACCAATACTAGTATCGATATCGGTGCCGATACCGAGTATTTGGGCGAGTACTCGTACTCGCCCAAATGCTCCGATGCCTAGCCCGATACTTTCTGTATCAGGAAGCCGGGCAGCGCGTCATTACACGCTGCCCGGTTTGCTGTTTGGCCAGGAAGCGGCTCCATGCTCTCTCGTCACTTGTGGTGAGAGAGCATGTAGCTGACTTCCCGGCCAATCAGGAAGCCGGGCAGCGTGTAATGACGCAGCCCCCGGCATTCTGATTGGCCGGGAAGCCGGCTCCATCCTCCCTCGTCATCTCATGACGAGGGAGCATAAAGCTGGCCTCCGGCCAATCAGAATGCAGGGCGCCGCATCATTACACGGCGCCGGGCTTCCATGATTGGCCAGCAAGCCGGCTCCGGCTGGGTAGCGGAGGAAGGCCGCTCCAGGCTGGACATGTCGAGGTGAGAGGGGACAGAGATCAGCAGCATACAAGCCATAGAGCCGAGCACTGCAGAGACATGCAGGTACATATGATTATTATTATGGGGATTTGTATGGGATGGCTTTCTTGTTAATCGGGAAGCCGGGTGGCGAGTCATTACACGCTACCTGGCTTCCTGAATGGGACTTCCGGTACTCGGTACCAAAATACCGGTATCGGTGCATCCCTACTTATAACCCATACATCATCCAAAAGTGCAACTGAGGCCAAAACTGGGATTAGGGAGAGAGATTGGAGCCTCTATCAGGTTTTTTTGAGGTTCTCGCTAGGAAGATTCACCCTGTTCGGCTGTCACCAGAAAAGACGGGAACTATTCCAATGGGAATACTAGTACCGCTAACCCCCCAGGAATTGTATTTCACTTTGGAGGGATTTCCTTTCACTTCCTGTTGTAGCTATTGAGCAGGAAGTAAAAGGAAATCTACTCAATAAGACACAGATAGCTAAAAAGATAGCTGACAAGGGTTTATCTCTCCCTTACTCTATCCAAAACCAAACCAAAAAAAAGTTTGGATTAAGTTCCACTAACAATTATAGCTAAATGCAGTTTTTTGTGTTTTAGAAACTGTAGGGTTTAGTAGAACCTAGCAGTTTGTTATTTTTTTAAGGTGATCTGCTTCACTACCTGTCCCAGAGACACAATGGCAAGCGGAAAGTGAGGTAAAAGACCCTTTAAAGTGAACCAGTAGGCACAGGGTAACTTGTAAATAATAACATACTTTTAACAAAGGAGGCTCTTTACTTTACGTTTGATAAAATGCCACCTCTTTGGTGCTCTCTGGCTGCGGCATGTATTCCACACTGCCAGGTGTGTGAAATACCTGCTCCCCCACTCCATCAGTTATGACTAACATGAGCCAGCAGAAGGAGTCATTGTGTGCAGAGCAGAAAACAGGTATTCAACCCAACCAGCTGGTCTAATATCTGCAGTGGGCAGCGAACAACAAAGAGGCAGCATATCAACAAACAAAATGCTGGAAAGGTAAGCATGGACCCTCTTTTATTACAAGTATGCAATTCTTTCCAAGTGACCCCCTGCTGACTGGGTTCTAGGAGAGTATCTCGCACTCCTATGCCTAAAGCAACCTTCCAGCTCCTCCTGGTGGTTGCTTTATGCTACTGCACAATTCCCAGACAGTGTATGCTGTGGGCTAATGAGCCTGCCACACTGCCTCAGCACCTTTCCCGGACAACTTCCTCAGCTGTGTATAACGAGCCTGGTCACACCCCCTCAGCATGTTTCTGTGACTACTTCTTCAGCTGTGTATAATGAGCCTGGTCACACCCTCCTCATTAAGGAACCCCCTACCACATATTTATAGTGTATAATTTATATATATATTTATAGTGCATATTTCTATTACTTATCCACCCTTTAAATCATTATTTCTCACCTCGTAAATATCTAGTAATTAATAATATCCAACCCTGCTCACCTGGATGGTGTGATGAAACATCCTGTAGTATCTCTCGAGGGTGTACACACACATTATTTTTTGAGAATATAATCTCTCCATCCAGTACAGTGGTTGTTTCTCCGTCAGAGCCAAGGGTCAGGAGGTCGGAGGCCTTGGAGGAAGCACGCCGAAGAAGCCGTCCCAAAGACATGGCAATAATTCCATCCTCTGTCAACCTTCAAAGCTCCTTTAAAATAAACAGAAACATGGTGTGATTTATGTATGTTTAAGCTTCGATTTTGAAGATAAGTGACTGTGTTGGCCCCACCAAGGACTGTTCACTGGACATGCAATTGACTATTAGTCCACATGGACCAATATACATGTCTCTGCATTCTAGCTGCATATACAGAAATATCAGCAGGGTGCTACCAGCACTAGTAGAGCCGGGCCGCCGCTCTCACACATAAACAGCAGTCTGGCTCTCCAACAGGCCCCTATGAATACCGCTTTAATCAACAGCTCTGCTCTTGGTATTGATTGAGAGATATTGATTAGAGTAGTGTTCAGCTGAATGTTTTAAACTGTAGAAGACACAAGACAATTATTGTGCGTGAGAGCCGCGGTCTGACTCTCCTGGCTGTGAGCACAGGGTTTTTAGGCCTTGTGGCAGCTATAAAATGAGGCATGCAGCAGCCTTACAGCATTACAGTAAGAAGATAAAAGGGTTCAAATCGATCTTTAAATACTCACCTCTCCTGCTGCCTATGCCATCGATCTCTGCGGTAGTAAAGAGAACCCCCTGGCTGAAGATCCTGCAGAATCCCACACCTCTGGGAGTGTCGATTTACTGGTCCCATGTTGTGTGCTAAGGTTCCTTCTTCCCTATGTCATTTAGTCCCAGTAGTGATGTAGGGGCTGGCAGATGGAACCAGTGAGTGCAGTGGTAGATGAGGGACCTAGCCACTCCTAGAAGGGTCAGAGAAGGCTCTGCCGTTTTACACAAGCTGAAGTAATGCTGCTGTCCACACCTATATGAGGTGTAACGTTCCAGCTAGTCACCCCAGTAGTCTGCTGGACTTGTAGTGTACCAGCAAGGGCAAACACATCTGGGCCAACCTTGAACATCACTGCCCAGCTCACTGCTGCTTTCCACTGCGATTCCCAGAATTTGGCAAAATGGAACTACCCCCTCCCATCTGGCACCAAGTTCCCACCAAGCGCATTCCAAGAGAAGAGCAATTACAGAACGGATCAAAACTGTGGCCAATGTATTCCAATGATAGTGGGCTCTAGTTCACACCGCAGCGTTCAGTTCCAGAGCCTGTAAACAAACTGCAGCAAGCCCTATTGTACCTGCTCTGGAATGCATGCAAACGCATCAAAAACACATGCAAACACACTGGAACTCATGCAGGTCTGGTCTGCATTTGGTGTGAACAAGCCCTTATACACAATTCACACAAAAATAGACATCAACAATAACAAACAGAAAAAAAAAAAACAAGACTACAAACCAATTAACAAAACAACCAAAATAAACATATATACATCCACCTTATATATATTCCATACATATGTATATTCAAAGCACAGCTAGGATACTGAGATTTCATCTTACACTTCCATAAAACTCCTTTGTTGTGTACGATATTGTATCCATCTAGACCAGATTGACATTGATAGGTAGTGCGTTCATACATTACAATCTGATCCAACTCAGAGATCCATTCTGATACTGATGGAGAAGAGGAGGATATCCATTCCCTCACCACCAATCGTCTAACCGTAAATAGAGCTCTATGTATAGCCATGTTAGTATATGAACCCATCAAAGAGGTATCAACAATTGCTAATATGCATACTCTAGGTGTGTTATTTAGCAGTATGCCAAAACTTGAATAGATAATCTTGAGTACTGCACCCCAATATCGAATCAGCTTGGGGCATCGCCACAATGAATGTATTAATGAACCATGATGAAAGCCACATTTGGGACACGTAGAATCATTCTTAACCCCTATTTGAAATAAAAATTCTGGGGTGCGGTATGTCCTACGTAAAATGAACAATTGAGTGAGTCTATGGGAAGTAGATAAAGATGCAAATAAAACCGCACTCACCGCTCCCCTGCATTCACAATCACTGGTCATCACAGTGCTACTTGCCTGATGAAGAGACCATGCTAGGTTCTGAAACGTTGTTCTGTATGTGTGATGCCATGTATTTCTAATGCCAATAAATTGACGAATTGATGCACAACCCCCTTGTGACGCCACCGGGAAAACCGTAACAATCCACTTACATTATCTCACTACTGAAGGACGTAGAATCCTTTCACAGGGCCGGTCTGATCAGGTCTGCCTGTCAGTTTTTCAGACGGACCCGATGAGATGCCCAATCTAAGGCTATAGGCAGCCGTGTGTAAACGGACTCACCCGGTTACCCCCAACTCGGGCCAGGTCCGGGAAAGCAAACAGTGTCCCGTTTCACCACAGCAGATCGTGCCGGATTGAAGGTAAGTTGATGTGAAAGGACACGTCAGTTTACATCTGATTCTCCCATAGACTGACATGTGGTCCGGTAATTGCAGGTTTTTCCTCTATCACAAGATGGAGGAAAAAAACTGCACGGGCACGGATGTCCCAGCACTAACATCTGCTCCATACTGGAGTGATGGAGAGAGGATCTGTGCACAGATCATTTCCTGATCAACCCGTGTGAAAGGGGCCTTAAAGCTGAACCCCAGCCTTACCTTTCGGGCCGGTTCACACCGCAAAGTCTGCTTTCCCGAGTGTTCGGTCTCTGGAACGCAAGCCGGCCAGCTCACTGTGTTTAGAGGCGGCAGGGGGCCCCCCGCCTGTCATGCGATCGCCTGCACCCGAAACGCAGGCACATTATCGCCTGTGTTCGTCCACTGCAATTTGCAAAAATAGTGCTTGGGATTACCCCACACTGCAAGGGTTAACTGCTCACTTTTGACTAAGTGCTAAAATAAAAAAGTTATACTCCCCTGAACCGCTGAGCCAGCTTGCTCTTGTATCACTCCCTCCAGCCTCTCGCCTCTTCTGCTGCATCAATGTCCCTTGTCACCCTTCTGTCCTTAGACCACTGAAGCGGATGGGGAGCGAGGCTGGGAGGACCAGTCTAAAAGTAAGCCAGCTCCAAGGATCAGGAGAGTATAACATTTTTATTTTACCACCTAGACAAAAACAAGCAGTTAACCCTTGATTGAATGGGTTGCCCTACTGCAAGGGTTAAAGTTTTGCCTTGAGTTCTTCTTTAAAGCTTAAAGTGACATTGAAAGATAAAATGCCCCGCCCCCTCCTCATGTTAGTGTAAGGACTGATGATGACTCTTGATCCGATCATCTTCTTCTTTCCTGTAGTTTTCAGCTGTCCCTCCAGCGCTGGTGCCGGTCTCTGATCCAGCGCTGAGTCCTCTGTGTCAGCCGGCACTTCCTGTCCCACGGAGTCTGTGCGGGTGCACACTGCTCCATAGACTTGCCTTGTGTCTCTCCTCGTCTCCCGGCCGAAGATCTGAACTGCGCATGCACCCGCCCCAAGATCCTTTGCGGCCGCCCGAGACTCTTCAGATGTTCGAATGGGAGCGCGCAGCGAAGACACAGGTAAGTTTAACCCTGTTTGAAAAGTATTTTTTTAAATTATGTTTTTGCAAATATATGCAAAAAATGCTGAGGGTTTATTAACCCTTTAGGTTAAATATAATTCTCAAAAGTCACAAGTGATAAAATCCACTTTGTGTGCACCAAATGCCTTTGCAAACACCGATATTACCTTGTAAAAGTAGCATTTGCTGCACACAGCCTGTGCAGAGAGCAGAGCTGTGGGAAGGGACCCAGCAGGCTCCACCCACTACAGGCTGTCTGCAGAAAATTACAGGAGGGGGCGGAGATGAGACTAGTCACCCTGCACAAGCAGAGAACAACAACGACTGGTCTTTATTAGAGGAAGCTCCTGCACAGAGGTAAAGTTTCACACTGGATTACTGCACAGATCTGGAAAAAATACACAAAGCTCACCAAGATTTAAGTAAGAACACATATACCTCTTGTGGTATGACAATATTTGCTTAGTCTGGAGTTCATCATTAAATGTTATTCATCAACCAATGTACCAGCTCAATATTAGCCAAAGAGGGCTGTGCTGTATTGACTTGTATTAATATAGAGCGTGAGGCTGATTAAAGGCCAAAGTCCTCTCCTCGTGGGTTCTATGGCCAGCTTTTTGTTAGCTTTTGTCACAGCTGTGTGCTATAACACGGCTTTTTCCCTGCCAGTGCTCCTAAATCCTTTCCCATCACAGATCTTCCCAAAGGTTTTAGTTTATAACATGGGCAATGCTTACCAAAGATGGAACCAATTGTTTCCACACAAAGAGAAGACAATTTTTCTGAAAAACCTTTGTTACTGGTTTCCTTTGTGCTAATGATGTTGCTCAGGTCTCACAACCCCTATGGAATCCTTTACATTGATAATATCTTTTGTTAACAAACCTCTGACACAAATAATTTTCTTGAATGTCAGCCTAGCACTAGCGCTGGCCATACACTAGGACAAAACCACTGGATTCCCCCATCCACGGCTAAGCAGTGGCAGCCGGAACCCGCGGCTCTCAGATTCCCTGAACAGTGACTGCAGCTGATTAGCAGCCGACAATTTTCTGCTCTGCTCCATCAATTAAAGTCCATTAAAAAAATCAACCTTTGTTGAAGGAAGCGGTGCCAGCAGGGCCACACACAGCTCGAATTTTGGCTAAGCCTGCCAGTGCATGGTCAGCTTTACTGTGGTCTAACAGTAAGATTCTTATCTAAATGAATCTTTATTTGACAATTTACTGCACAGTTTGTGCTTTGTCTTAAGCTGGCGTTTAATCTGCTTATATTTTGCCTTCCCTGGTTCTTCCTTCTCCCCCCTCTCAACAAGATTCTAATATAATATTTCAATAAAACTATTCTGGGCTGAGCCTCCATGGCTGAAAGAAATGAAATTCAATGAGTGAAAGGGGAAGGCCAGGGACTAAGGCTGGGGAAGAAAGCGCTAGATGGTGCAGGAGGTCTTGCCACGCAGAAATTAAGCAGGCTCTATCTGACTTGCTGCTTCTAATGCACACTGCAAAAAAGCCACAGTATGCAGTGGAAGTAAGCAAATTAGTACAGGAGAGGATCCTGTAGACCAGTGGTTCTCAACTGGTGGGTCGCGACGCAATTTTTTGGGTCACGCCTTAA